TGTGCACCATGTTTTTGGAGAGTTAAAAGCTCTGGCGTGCTGAAATATACAATACGCGATATCAACGGTAATGCTATTACTATGTTACTAGTTTGTTCCAAAACAAAAAGGGGTCATTATTAGTATCTCACTTAAGTAAATTTAACACATATGAGATGAGACGCTCAACAGCAGCGTATTTTGGGTATACGATATTCTACCAATCAGACGACTTGGAGGCGTCTACATCTGTCCAATCAGACGGCTTGGCGGCGTTTACCTCTAACCAATCAGACGACGTGGCACAGACGTTTTCCGAAAAGGCAGGGAGCTTGGTGGTGACGGCAACGTGTGTGAGTTCTCATCAGTGTTGTGAGTATTACATATTATTTATAGAAACAGCTACTACTAACAATGTTCAAGACATAAGAAGGCAGCTAGGCGCCATGATTTTTACGCTTCAAGAAGAAGTAAAGAGAAGGAACAGTCCAAGAAGAACGTGGATACCATGAGGAATGATCTTGACTTTGCAGAAGCTATCATCATAGAGAGGGAAGATAGTGACCCAAGGAGAAGTAAAGAGGATGAACAGATCAAGAAGAATGTAGTTGCTGTGGAGGATGATGACGACTTTCCTGAAGCTATCATCATAGAAAGGGACGATAGTGGCCAGTATAACTTGCAGTCAACTAACGCACCCAATACAGCCAAGAATGACACACCTAGAGACATGCTGGCAGTAGAACCAACTACATCAAAGAACACTATTACAACGGAGGAATCAGATGATTGTACGATCGAACAAGCTTATATGCCGGCTGAGGAGGAGACTCCAAGCAACGCAAGAAAGTCCAACGGTCCGGTTATCAAGACACGAGTAAAGATTTACCAAATAAACGAGGGAGGAACCAGACTCCTGGACTTAACGAGAACCAAAATAACCAGATATCTGGAGACTTTACTGGGGATAGGAAGCATATGCAGACTCAGAAAGACACAAGAGGGTGTGATCGTCACGATGAATGAAACAAAACAGACGAAGAGAATGACTGAGGACATTGGTACACAGCCTACAATAGAATTACAGCTACCGGAAAAGATACTGGTTGCAGCCAAGATGTTTCAGGAGATCCGAAAGTGGGTGGTCAAGAGAGTGAATACCAAATATTCACAGAGCAATTGAGGAAAGAAAACCCGAAGATGAGTATAATCAGAGCAGAGAGAATTATATCCAAAGACATGAAATCAACAGTAGCAGTGGTGACGACAGAAGGTGAGAGTATTCCAGAAACAGTCAAGCTTGATAATAAACTACAGAAACCAGAGATATATATCCCAAGGGTACTCCAATGTTCCAGATGTCAAAAGGGATTTCATACCAAGTCAGTGTGCCGCAGCAAAACAGAGATGTGCAGATATTGTGCTGACTCTCATTCCTTTAATGAGTGTCCATTAGCAAGACAAGATAAAAATTATCAAAAATCAAATAGCAATCGACGATGCAGCAACTGTTTTGGACAGCACGGGGCGAGGTATTTTGGATGTCCTTATCTGCAACATTGCCAGCAAATTCTCAAGATAGCAATTACTGAGAGAATACCAAGCAAAGAAGCCAGAAGAAAATGCAAATAATCTGAATACTTCACCCCAGTGGAGAAATCTAGGATGCAGAATCAGATCAAAGTTAGAAGAAGAGGTCAAGATATTAAAGGCAAATAAGCTGACTCCAAAGAGAAACATGCCAGAAATTGATGACCAAGCAAGACAGATACTTGCAGAGATGAAAGAGATGAGACAGATATTGGACTACAATATAAAGACACTTAATGACATAAAAGCAGAAACAATAGCAGCACTACAGGAATTGCAGAAAAATCAGGATGAAAGCCGTGAAGACAACAGCTCCAAGCAACTCCAAAGTGACCAAGATAACAGCGATAAGCCAATAGATGATAAACCGAAAGAAACATCGATGAAATAGTCTACTGGCAAGCAGCATGAACCTGAAGATAGACACAATACAGAAATGAACAGAAGGCTTCCACCAGGAAGCATCAAAACCAAAGAAGACCGAAGAAAACAAGCTCAATACGGAAAGAGACTGAGGGAAGAGATGAGAGAGACGACAGAGAAAACAACATCCACAGACACCTACCAGCCAGATCCAAAACGCAAAGTAACACAAAGGACGCCAGACAAAGATGAGAAGGAGAAAAACAACAGCAAAGATGGAAAGACGAAATTACATAAAAGTCCTTGTAAGGACTAAGTATTATTACATCATAGAAGCCAAGACAGAGGAGAAAAACGTGACGAGGAATAGAAACCAGACTCCACCAATCAGAAAATGGGAATCACAAGACGACGAGTGGATAGGACAGAACTAAAATGCACTATACAGATGTCTCCTACCATTGTCAAGAACGAAAAAAAAAGAGACACAATTAAGAAATAGAAGACCCTTGCCTCCAGATACATTAACATCAGGTATCGAACAACTTTATACAAGGAAAAAACAACATCAGTCAAACCGTTTAGAACAACATAACCAAATGGAACCGAAGGAAACCATATTCGAGCAAATCAAACTTAATAAAGGTCGCAAATATAGGCAGCAGCTATATAGCTAAAAAGCCTGAACGCAATCAAATTATTCTTTTTGTTTTTTCAAGAAGCAAGCAAGCAACAAGATGAGACGCTCGAGGGAAGTCGCCAGATTAATCATCCGTAACTGAGTATCAGACAGAATGTGGGAACATCTTGCACCTAATTCACTGACAAGGAGAAGATCAAATGATTTTTCTTTTAATCTCGCTAGCATGCAGCTACAACAGCTACCAACACAGGCGCAACAACTGAAACATTTGATGCGAAACCAAAAGGATGCCCTCGAAGAAGATGGATTTATAACCTTACAGACATTCATAGATGTAGATAATAATCAGTGCTACCCAGCCTGAGGAAAAAATTGAGGGGAGGGGGGTTGGGGGGGGGGGGGGGGGGGAGACAATGCATGGAGATTAAAGGGAGACGAAAGAAAGTAAAACTTTAACAAAAGTAAATTTTCAAGAAGAAAACAATATAGGATTTATACTTCTTACTTTATTTTTTTGTGTAGAGCAAAACCACCTGACAGCCTTCTTTGACATAACCTGTGTGAAAACAAAAGTGTTTATGTGTGTGTGTTTGGGAGGGGGGGGGAGGGAGGGGGGGGGGGTGTATACACTGGGTAAAATGAAAAAAAAAAAAATTGTTTCAGTGTAATGGAAACTAGTCTGGTATAAGTTGAAGAACATTTTGTTTCTGTCTACCTGTCTTTCTTATTAATATAAATGTAAATATGTTTGAACATAATTCAATAAATGTACAGTTATGATATTTTGATTTATGTGTCCGAGCATGACCTGAGGGCACAGAAGGCGATGGTAGCGACATACATGGAAAAAAGACTATTGCTCTTATTGTTCAACAATTTGATCCTGTCAATAACTGATTAGGCCTATATGCGAGTTGCAGTGATGAAAGACATCCGCTGCATGTTAAACTGAACGACTTTAGACAAAACAGGTTGAAAAGAGGAAAGTCATGGCACTAGCTGAAGGTAACATTTGGACAGCGGCTTTAGTCGAGCTCTTACACAGAGGGCAGGAACTGGTCCACACGAACATCCACATTAGCAGTTTGCACCAGGCCAATATTAAATTAGGAAGAGAATATCGAGAGTGATGTAACGGTATGGCAGAATAAGAGGTACAACAACTGAAGATGAAACAACTGAATTAGATGATGCAATAGTGTACACTGATGGTTCTGTTCATCACGGTGTGAGATATGGCTGGGGATTTTCAGCTAGAATGCAAGGAAAGATCGCGGCAGCACAAAATTAAGCTTTTTTTCTTTTTCTTATCTACAACTTCAAGTATGAGGATGGATTTGGAGGCAATCACTGCAGATCTGAAGCGGATATCAGAAAATAAAGCCATCAGAGGAATTACTGTGTCTGATTCTCAGTCGGTACAGTGGAAGGTTTAAAATGGACACGTGTGGTTTGAGTGGATACCAAGCCCCAGTGAGTCAACATTGCAGGGAATCACATGGATATACTGTAAAACATATGTAAGCGTTCAAGGAAATGAAAAAGCAGATTTTCTGGCTACAAAGGCGATAGTTACTGGGACACTTGTACGTTACAAGAGAGACACTCTAAAGACCATTTAAGAACGAATGCTGAGCGAAGACACAAGGTTAGATTAAAGTAAAATATATAAGAATGTGTGAACGAGGAATCAGTCAGTTGTGGATCAAACAGGGATGTATGTAAGGAAGAGAACGAAGTGTGTATAAATTAGTGTGCTACGAGAACAGTTGGCATCTACACCTTTGGACATTTGCTGCGGGAGACGGAACATCTATAGGATGCCCAGTGAGCTAAGATGTATATTCTTAAATCAGTAATCACTGTAGGCCAGGGAGGCAATATTAGTCTTGTTCCTGCACTTAATAATCCTCTCGGTGGCCCTGGTGCTACCGATCGAATACTGTTCCGCAAACTGCTCTTCCCCAGATCGCTTTAGTGCACAAATAGAAGTCGAAGATGATGATGATTCCCATAACAGATAGACAGGCAAATAGACAGGTAGACGATCGATAGAGAGATAAGTGGACACGCAGACAGGCCGGCGCACTGACGGACAGACATACAGAGATTAGACAGACATATATATATAGACAGATAGACAAACATATAGGTCTTAGTAGTATGAAAACAGCAAATGCTTAGCAATATAGTAGTTATATACCACAGCCCCATAGTGGCATTCACAGACACCGAAGGAAAAAAAAAAGATGTTAACATACTCAGGTTAATAGTACAGCATGGCAGATAAGGGATACAAATAGATAGACAGTCGTATGCCGACCACATATGAGTTTATACTCTGTAATCTATTCTCCACCCCGGCCCCCAAATAGTAAATCTATGTTGCATTTAACCACCGCGTTCTGGAAACAAAACATTTTACCTTTATCTGCAGCTCTTCTATCTGCCAAAAATCTAGTTCTCTCTTGACCACTGCCCCACAGACTTCCAGAGGGACATGAAGCTCCCCTGTTGAAATCATTTTACAGTTTAACAGACATAAATTTTCTTGGACTACAAGCAGTAGTATATGACGTCCATTACAAATATAATTTCTACATAAGTATTATCAAGTATACAACAAATAACAAAACTCCCGTAGCCGCACAAGATATATATTAGGCACACAACATATACAAAACATAAAATATAAAAATCGATAGATCAAGCTAAGGCTCGTTGGTGTCTAGCACCATATATCATTGGTTTTATCAATTTATTTTATATTTTACTTAACAGATTTCGTTGCTTATGACACAGACAAGCAGAGGGATAAGGAGACAGTCAGATAGACAGAGAGATAAACGGATGGATAGATGGGTAGACGGGTAAATACTAGGACAGATAGATGGATGGACAGACATATTTTAGCAGACAGGTACATTTCTGGACAAACATTAACAAATCACCCACTTGAATCTGAAAAAAAAAGTCCTAAAGGGGAAAGCCTTGACAAGTTGTGCGACACTGAGAGGGTCGACGATATGTCAGACTGCAAAGGAGTTGACAAGATAAATGACAATAAAAGACCTGATACGGTGTAAACAGTAAAAGTGTGACCGAGGAGTCCGACAGTTTTTCCAGAACGCTCTATAAATCTCATGGACTATTCCGTATTATATATATATATATTAACTACGTTGTGGTTTTTTTAACTTAATTATTATGAAACTTTATAAGTCTAGCGCCATACATTGTTGGTCTTATGGATGTTTATATTTTTCTTCATACCCTATAGCACCACACACCCTTGCTTTATTCTTGTTATCTTTCACTATCTAACTGATATTGATTATAGCACCACATATCCATGTTTAGTTTATCCTTTGATATTTTACTATTTAACACATATTATCTATCCCATATACTATTTGATCTGATTGATTACAAAAATATTTAACTATCTACCTTTGATCAGCCAAGCACCACATACTGTCGATTTTTTATTTTGATTAAAAAATATGTTTTACTATATAACATACTAGCACCATATATCATTGATCTTACTGTTTGTTTTTCTTAACTACATAACCTACACAAAGTCTAGAAACAAATATTTCAAAGTTGCACTGATTTTTATATTCTCTTATATAACCTTTATATTCTAGCAGAAAAGGCAAGCGTCCTGTGGTGTTCTTTGGACAACAGGAGTGTTAGAGCTGATGTTCCCAGACTCAAAATAAATGGCAGGGACATCAAAAGAGACAGCAGACTGTGGTACCTGGGAATCACCTTTGACATAAGTTTGTCTTTCAGGGATCACGTACAGGGGTTTGTGAAAAGGGCTAAAAAAGTCTAAACGCACTAAAGAGTATGGCAGCGATGGACATGGAGTAGGGAATGCTGTTCACACTTTACCAGCACTTAATCATCTCAGTGATTGATTTTGGATTTGGGTTACTCACTGTCTCAAAGAGTCAGCTAGAGAAACTGGGGCGCATACAGAATGAAGCTATGCGGCTGCTCCTGGGTTGTACAAGAAACACTCCGATTGTGTGCATGCGATATATCCTTGCATTGCCGACAGTAGTAGGGGCGGTGTGTGAGCGCCCAATTACATCCAGGGCCTTAGCAGCCTATAAGTCTTCCTCTTTATAATTAGTAAATATCGATAGGGAGGCTAACGACGTCACGAGTGATTGGTTTTTCGGGGCAGGGGAAAGACATATGGTGTATAAATCAATACTTTGTCCCCATAGCAACGGGTGACTAAGTCCTAGGATGTCAGCGTTTTCTTAGTGGATAATTAAGGCAAACCTATAATTTTTTTTTAGTATTAATGCTTGGGCGGGCAAATCAACACTTTGCTGGCGAATTATTGTCTTTAAAGCGGCGGACGACAGGTTGCAGGTGACTAATGTTTTTTTTTTTTTTTTAGCTGGTTTATGGGTTCTGTAATAGAAAAAAAAATTAGGTTTGGTTTGTTAGCGGGGGATATATATGTTGTAAAATGAAACAACTTATGGGATATGAAAATAGACATAGGTGGCTGCGACGGGCGGCGGAGGAGGGCCGTTTTAGGATTTAGATAAAGAAATCCAGGAAGATGGCTCGCTGACAGGGGTGTCGTGAAGTGAATCAACCCACTCCTGCACATGAAACTATTCGTGAAGTTGGCGCCCCCTAGCGGGCAGGTCACATTTCAAATTTAGACCCGTCCGGTTGGTAAATAGTCCATCATATATATTTACACCTTTATCTGATGAAATAGACGTATCTATTTCTTCTGGATCTCTTGTGAAGTCTTCAATTTCAAATTTGCAGTTGTGGGGTAGAGATTCTCTGTATTAATATTTCTTTTTCCGAGAAGCCTTTTTACTCCTCGACGCATTAATATCGCGGGCTACTTTCTTTGAAAGGACGCTAAAATTTCCCTCTCATTCACTGATGACTTCCAAAGAGTCCAGTTGCATTTGCCTTTGGGCCTGATTTCTACTTTGAAAAGTACCAGTTAATTTCTGGAGGAAATCCTGAGCTTGGGATGATATCTCCTTGGAGACCAGACAGTGAATCAGCGGTCTAGAAAAGCACCAACCACCAAATTACCCACTACCGAACTATCACTATGGCAGACAGCAATGTGGGAACCAAAGTGTAGGCATCTCCTTACAGGCAGCCCAACTGACATTCACACCAGAGTGCCTTCTTCAGGAGCGTGTTCGGTTCCAGTGGCTGAAAAGCTGTTGTTCCAGGCCATCAGGACCACTCTCGGTCCAGAACACCCTCTTCAGGAGCTTGTTCAGCTAAAATTTTGAACTCTATATGTGACTGTGTCTGCCAGATCAACCATTGAAGTGAACATTCTCAGAATGCCAGCCTGTTCATGTATCATGGACTGATAAGTGCAGTGACTCCAACCTGGAATAGGAACAGATAAGTAGTGAACTCTATGATGATGCCGTGTTCTATATTTACAGGTCCACGCCAAATCACCATGATGATGTCAGGTTGCCTCTAAGAGATTCCTCAATGTCCGTCAAAGAAATTTCGGTGTTGACATTGCAATATTCCAATGCTGTTGACGATCCTTCTCTTGAGTCATATATCATGTTGATGTTGAACTCATTAGACGTATTTCCGAGTTTTCACTATTGACTGGAGTGTCAATCATTCACTGTTCTTAGCTGTCTAAAGTACATGTATGTTCAATTAAAAATCTTCATCTGGCTATCTTTTTATCATCATATTTGACTCTATTTTAGACATCCTCAAGATCAGGTTTTGCCACAACTGTCTCCTGTCTGTTCTGAAGCCCTTCATTAACATCAAAAGCAGAAGTAGCTGCATTAGACCATGTATCGTTCCGTGGCCGGTAATTTACCCAAACCTTTTGGCAGCCGCTCTTTCCTTTTCAAAAACATTTGTATTTTAACAGCAATTTTCTTCTTTAGCACTTTGCCTGAGTATTTTGAAGGGTGATATTCCTGAAACCGCAGAGTCTGGATTGATCTTTGCCTGGTTTTGGAAGGGTGATCAGGTAGCTGTGTACCCATTCCTGGGGTACTGACTTGTTAAAGTGAAATGCCATCTCCCTCAAGTCTTCATCACTCATGCTCTTCATATGGACATACCTCACTCTGTCTGGCCCCGGTGCAGTGTCTTTTACTTTTTGCAATACATATTTTATACTAGCTGTACCCGGCCTCGTGTTGCTGTGGCCCAGATTGGTGAAATGGAGAGGAAGAAAAATAGCTCTCAGCTAACAGTGTCTGTCATAGGCCCCTCCTCTCCCCTCGACGCAGTCATATTTCCCTCTCCGATGGATTGAAAAATCATCCATGGCGAAATTATTAAAATAGAAATAGTTAAGAAATAAGAACTTTAAAATAATATTTTAAGCTCTCTCAGCTAACTTTGTCCTGCACCCCCCCCCCCACCCCCCATCATACCTCCCTCTCCGAAGGATAGAAAAATCATCACCTGGCGAAATTATTAAAATAGAAATAGTTAAGAAATGAGAACTTTAAAATAATATTCTAAGCTCTCTCAGCTAACTGTGTCTTTCATAAACACCCCCCCCCCCCAATCATATAATCTTCTCCGAAGGATGGGGAAATCATCCTGTAACGAAATATTGTAACTAAATTGAGCTTTGCATCCGTGTCTACCCATAATTAAATAGGTAGCATTAACTTGTACAGAGAAGAAAATGTAGCCAGTGTAACAGCTACAGCATCACCCATCCAGTACCAGTACTACTGCAACTACAACCACCACCACCATCACAACAACAACAACAACAAAAACTGTCACTACAGTCTGTGTAGGTCGGTGTAGAAAAGAGGAGTTAGCGCCGCATGCTGTCGCCACGGACTATTTAAATTGATTTTGCCCCGGACATAGGGAAAAAAAGAAAAAAAAAAACGTCATCACGTAACCAGTGATGGAACCCACAGTGAAAAGTACACTATACTCACGAATAGGGGAGAAAAATACACCGCACCCATCATCTCTCCCTCTTCGAGGGAACGATTTTTAACTGACCTTGCCATCCTTGTCCACCCAAACTAAACTGGACTGTAAGCCGTCTTAGTTAACAGTTTCTGTCATCACCGAATAGTTTTTGATCGAGAAGCGTCATGGGGAGGCTAAATAGGACTTAAATGAAATCAGATGTCTTTGGGCGAAAGGTGCAGATATCGCAGCCTAGCTGTAAACCACAACACAACGTGGCAACCACCCTTTTAAGGGGAAAAGAACAATTATCACCCAGCGGGAAATCGAATACCGGTCACCCGAGTGAAGGATGACATACTTACAACTTTACTACCGACGACTGAAGAGTTTAGGTCAGATATCGCAGCCTAGGTATAAACCAGAACACAACGTGCCAACGGCCCTCTCGAGGGCGAACGAAGATTACCCTTGACAAGACCTTAGAGTTGTCGCAGGCTAGCTGTAAACCCCAAAACCGAAAAAAGCGTAGATATCGCAGCCTAGCCATAAACCACAACACAAAGTGCCAGCCG